AACACAAGGGGGAAAAAAAAAAAAAAAAAAAACCAACAAAAAATCCCCAACAGCCTCCTCTGACATAGGGAAAAGCCCGAGAATCACAAGGGTCAGACGGGACAACCCTCAGCCTCCCACCACCGCTTTGCAGAGACGTTCCACTCTCAGCCCCCTTTAGACACACAAAAAAAAAAAAAAAAAAAAAACCAACAAAAAATACCCAACAGCCTCCTCTGACATAGGGAAAAGCCCGAGAATCACAAGGGTCAGACGGGACAACCCTCAGCCTCCCACCACCGCTTTGCAGAGACGTTCCACTCTCAGCCCCCTTTAGACACACTCCGAGCCTCCAGTGGAAAAAAACCCACCCAACTGAATGAAAAATAAATACAAATGTTCCCAGGACATCAGCCATATCTATGGTCCAAGGGAGAGGGAAAAGAAGTCTCCACAAAGTGTCGCAGCCTTTCTGCGGGCTGCAAAGACAGACAAGGCAAGCCCTCCCTCCCCTCTCCCACGCTATTGCAAGGTAACAGTCTGAAAAGGCACTTCTCCCAAAGCAGGTCGCTCTGCCTGGCCGGGGGTTGGTGACAGGCGAGGTGACACCTAAACACTCCCAGTTTATTGCATGTAGGCAGGGTAGAGGGGTTGGGTTGGGGGCTGGCGGGTCCTGGAGGGCTGCAGAGGGCTCGGAGGAGGCGGCAGGAGACAAGGATGGCACCATCTTGCTTTCTTCGCACCACCGTACCTTGCTTCCAAAGGCTACATTCACCTGGAGAAACCCTTGCCTTCAACGGACGGAGAAAAGCCCCTGCACAGAGGGGCAGGCAGGGCTCCTGGGACACCCCAACCCCGCTGGCCCCATGGATCTGCTCCCCCGAGCTCGGATGTGGGGCCAGCGCTGGGGGCCAGCGCGAGCCTGACCTCCGCAGGGGGACGGTCCCCAGCCCAGGGATGCTGGACCAGGGGCTGAGAAGAAAACCTGTGCCACAAAGCAGGGGGGATGAGCGGTCGCCCCGCTCCGCACGACAGAGACTGCGTCTGGTTATTTGGTCAGTTAACATTGGCAGGGGGTTGGGGGTGGGAAGAGGGACAGTGGCAGAGGATTTATATAAAAATAAAGGGGGAAGAGGGGAGAAATAGCGAGCGTGAGCGAGCAAGGTCCTGGCTACGGAGCGAGACGGTTACATTTCGTTAGCCACCAGCTCTTTGTCGGTCACGCCATTGGAGAGCGAGCTCTGGCCCTCGTTCAGCCTCTTGACCCTGTAGGCTTCGAAGTGGATGTTGCTGGTAATATCCTTTATGTTCTGCATGTGTGTCCTGCGGGAAAGGGAGACAGGGGCAATCGCACCTTGCTGGACATGGTTTCGGCCAGCCCAGCCTCCACCACCCCAACCCTTGCACCCCCCAACCTCTGCTTTCAAACACTGCTCCAGCCCAAATTTCCCCTCCTGCTTTACTGGTCAATGGTATCTTTAGGGCACAGGAGGGAAGCAAAGGCAATCATGGGCAGACAAGACCAGAAGCCTTCACTAGTACCAACAGCCTGCGCTTGGGTACGCGGGAACCCTGGCTGCGTAACACCCACCCGGGAAGACTCCAGTCCTGCAGGTCCCTGGTTTGGGAGCCCCACACAACTGTCTGCCAGCAACAGCTCACGTGTGCACAGCTTATCTCACAGCCAAATTCAGGAGGAGCCCGATGCCCCCTCCAGCAAGCCAAGGGGGCTCAGCCTTCCATTCCCCTGTGGCAGGGACGCCTCTTTCAAGAGGAACCAGCAATCTCCCAGACCCCCAGCGGCACGATCCTGGGACCACAGGAGGGTGATATCTTCAGACTGGGGGTAGGACCTGGGGCTGGTGAGGGATCACTAAGGCCAGAAGGCTTCCCAGCTGCTTGCAGGCGAGCTGGAGCCACACTGCATGCTGCCAGCAATTTTGGAGTCTGTCCTGACCCATCCACTGCTCCTCCACTCCCTTAACTCAGCGCTGTAGCTAAGAGAAGCCCCCTGGAGCCATGTCCCACCAAGTGGGGCCACCCCTCGCAGAGGGGCTGCATCGTTGCTGCAGGCTGGGAGGGGATGGAGGGATGGATGGACGGGTGGATGGATGGGTGGATGAGCAGAGCCAAGCAGTGGCTGCTTCAGGCTGGGCTGGGCTCTCCCCTTTCTTTGGATGCCACCTGGTGACTGAAGGTTACAGGGACAGGGCACAGTCCTACCGACCTGATGAGGAGGTCCCGCAGGTAGGCAAACTCACAGTGTGTCGTGTTCTCCACTGGTAGGAAGAGAGAGAAACCCATCAGCGTGCACCCACAGAATGAGTATGGCAACCACTCGGGGTAAGGAGTACCCCCATAGGGCTTCACCAGTGTGTGGAGGGCTGAGATGGGGATTTACCCCCAGGGGCTACAGGGTGCAGGACTCCAGAGTCCTCTTTGCTATTGTAAGGCTGGTGGTTTACCCAGGTACCTGCCCCAGCTCGGCACAACCAACTGGCTGGTGAGGTCTGATTGAGCATTCCCAGTCCCTTCCTACCATCTCCCACCAAACAAGGGAGCTCCCACCAGTATCCCCCACTGTGACCCCCTCTTTGGACCAACATAAGCTTAAGTGGTCCCCAAACAGAGGCAAGGGAAAGGGACAGGGTGAGCTTTGCATCGAGCGCTGGGCACGGCTCCACAGAAGTGTTTCATCTACAGCTTCACCACAAGCATCCTGCAACACCCCTGGCATGTCAGTGACGGTACTGCTCGGGGTGCCAGGCTGCGGAAGGACGCGGTCTCTTGCTGACAAAGGCTGCCGCTGTCTGAACAGGGCTGGAGGCAAGCAAGAGTGTTTGCAAGAGGGAAAAATCAAGGGGTGTTTCTCCACCATAATTAATCTGATGGCTCGCAGTTTACCAGGCGTTTGAATTTAAAAGATCAGCTGCCTTCTTTTTCCATTTTTTTCCACCCAAACAGGCTTGAATATAATGCAGAAATGGCAAGACAACAAATAACATTGTCTGCAAAGGCTGCCCGTGGCCATGGCTAGGCCCCAGAGTCTCCCCATGCTGAAGGCAGATGCCACATGCAGAAGGTGAGAGGTTTAATGAGCCCCATTAAGCTCAGAGCTTCCAAGGACAGAGCACAAGAGGGCAGCAGAGCTTTAAAATACACTGATTTTTCCTGGCATCTTTGTTAAGCCATCCCTCAACACAGGATTCCTGTTAAAAAGACTCATAAACGAGAGAAACCTATGAAATGAAGGGGAGGAAGATAGGAGGGGTGGCACTGGAGACGTGCCAGTTGGCTGTCAGGGACAGGGAAATGTGTAGATGCACTGGAGCCAGGCGCCTTCATCTAGCCTTTAAACCAGGATTTAAAATGAGGGGTAAAAAAAGGAAGACACTGATGGGTTGAAGATGGAAGAAGGAAAAGATCCCACAACAGCAGCAGCTAAATGCGTGGTGGAGGGTGCAGAGACCTACAGGTGCCAGGGGAAAGGCTCTAATCTGGACTTGAGACACAGAGACATCAGCACTGCGCTTGTGTGTCCTCAGATCCAGCCATCGGGCATTAAACTGTGCAACCAGCAGAAGCCAGGCCACAAGCAACCCAGAAGTGTGCCCTCCAGCACTCAGCAGCCCCCCAAGCCACACAAAGGCCCAGGAACTTGGCACAGGAGCATTTCCCAAGGTGTTTTCAGTCCTGAAACACCAGGAAAGTTATTTTCTTTGGAGAGGCAGGGAAGCACTATATCCACTTCTACTTCAACTGCTGGTTTTGGACCTCACCACCTTCTGTCAGGGCAGGGAGATGGGCTCGAGAGGTAAGGAAACAAGGACAAGGTACCTTCAATGGTGCCCCACTTGGTCTTCCTTCCAAGGATTCTTCTTCCATTAACCTGGTACTCCTGGTCACTGCCTACCACCGCAAATGGGATCATTTCCTGAGGAAGGAGAAAAAAAGGTTACATTTTCCTCTTGAAAACCGGTCAGGAAACCAAGCTGGCGAGCAAAGTCCTACATCAAGCTATTTTCAGGAGAGTTTCACAGGATGAGCTGGTCTGTCCCTGGTGCTCCTGAGAAGCATTGCCTGCCAGGGACTGCAGGCAGCCCAGCACCAGGGTAGCAGCATCTCTTGCACATGTGCCCAGTTCAAAACCAGTCTATAAACCAGCCCAAAACCAGTCTAGCCCAGCACCTCATTGGCAGACGCCAGCACACAGCCAGGGCAAAGGTATCCTGATGCTTCCCTGGGAATCTCCCCCAGCATCTGGCAATCTGTGGCTCAGTTATTTCCTGATCCAAGGTGGCGTCTTTGTATTTAGAGTCCCTAGAAGCCATTTTTTCTCCCTTGACTTTGTCCAATCTGCTTTATTGAGCCAAAAAATTGTTAGGAAGAATTCCTATAGCAAGGAATTGACAGCCTCAAAAGCAGAGCAGCCTCCAGGTAAATTACCTCCAGGTGCCAGGAAGGCTGCTCCCCTAGCCAGGGACGGGCAGACACCAGCACTCCCTGCCCCTGGGGCAGGGCAAGGGGCCACGGGACCTCCCTGCCTGCTGGTTGCTGAGGGCACCTTTGAGGAACAGGGCTGGGGAAGGGGCAGAGACATGGACAGGAGAGGACACCTTCCCCAGGTACCATCCTCACCCCCTTTCTGTCCCCGCTCTGAGCTCTGGCAGGATCCTTGGTCCTGAGCAGACCCCCTGGACCCAGGTCATGGGCAGAACCCCTGGACAGGGGCACAGCTGCTTTGGAAAGAAAATAAGAGGCACTTTGCAAGAGACCCCCGGGATATCACCAGCTGGGGTGGTGTCCAGAGCTGCAGGGCCCATCCAAACACATCCGACCTGCAACACCACTCACTAACCCTGAATTTCTCATTCACTAGCCGATCTTCAGAGTCTTCATCAAACTCCTTCTGAGGATACACGTCGATCCCATTGGCAAGAAGATCGGCCATTATCTAGGAGAGAAGAGCAGAGGGACACATGAAGGAGACACGGGCAGAGGAGCTGCACTCCCACCATGGCGGCAGCCCCCCGCCCAACCAAGAAGGCCCCCTTGGCAACAAC